GAGAAAATGAAAGTTACGTTGAATTTGTTTTCTCGCGACAAAGCGTGCGCCCTTAGCCTTCAAATTGCCCATATTCATCTTATTTTGCATTTTTTTAATGTTTCGTTGGGCGTTTTTTGTTAAACTAATTTCCTTTCACACATACACTATTAAATTTTCCCAGTACTTATTCAATGTTGTTGTTGTTGGGAATGACATAACAGAGACACAAGCACAGTTCTATGTGCGTATAGTGTCAGAACAAACACCAAAAACGATACCGAGGACAATTAACATTTTGACCATCCTGACAAGTTCTGCGACGGAAATAATACCAACTGTAGTGTTTATTTCATGTACACCGCTGGTCATTGACAGGTTTCACCTGGCTCACCTGAGAATATTTTTGCGTTCCGCAAGAGCGATCTGTTCGTGATCAGTGAACAGTATCGTGTGGTGTGGAGTAGGCATGTCTATGTTGGGGAGAATTCCTTTGGTTACAGCAGGGACTTGTGGTAGGATACCATGATACACTAATAAGTCATCCACTAGCAGCTAACAAAACAACAACAACAACGACAACAAATTAAGATCAAGAATTCCTTTGGTTACAGCCGGGACTTGTGGTAGGATACCATGATACACTAACAAGTCATCCATTAGCAGCTAACAAAAAACAACAACAAATTAAGATCAACAATTCCTTTGGTTACTTCCGGGACTTGTGGTAGGATACCATGATACACTAACAAGTCATCCACTAGCAGCTAACAAACAACAACAACAACAACAACAAATTCAGATCAAGAATTCCTTTGGTTACAGCCGGGACTTGTGGTAAGATACCATGATACACTAACAAGTCATCGACCTACAGCTAACAAAACAACAACGTCAAATTCAGATCAAGCACATATGACAGGGATTTTAAGATTTCTAGCAGCGTATGACCAGGCGAATAGTATTTCCCAAAACTGAAACAGTGTGTACAAAAAACGGGGTATTCGTATTCTTTGGAGTTTCTACAATTCTATAACTTGACCTGTTACATTTTTTATGACTTCCACGACCCAGTATTTTGTTCCCTCCTCCCAACATTTTAGTCCATTTCCATGACTTTCTGTTACCCACATCTCATTCATACATTTTCTGATCTTAAAGTTAGAAAACGGAAATTCTTGACTTTCCCAGCCTCTCCCACGACCCTCGGAGCCTTGAAAAAGCCAAAGCTGGGACAAATGACCAAAGTTATTTGTGTCATTATTCTTCCTCGGTCAAAATTTCTGAACAAATGCATCTTAAGCGATACATTTTGCTGTTAGTTCTATTCCTTGGTAATGGGTGACAGCGAGCAACTGTCCATGGACACGACTAGGGAAAGGAACTTTTTTCAAACCATAATTGGAATGACAATCATATTCTTAGAGTGTTATTACAAGTCTTACCCCAAACTGCTGAACTCCTCGGATCGGTGTTTTGCTGTAATTCCAAACTTTTACCATGGAAACTGTTACGGGCTCATCGAACACCACATAAATCAAATTGATCTGAAAACGAAGATCAGAAAACTGAAACTTTTTAAAAGCTTAGTGTAGAGTATGTACACATGATCTCAGAGAATCATCACGATGAGCATCGTATTTTCCTAACAAGTTTTTTTTCTTGTTGAGTATGGTTTCGGAATCATTTAGCAAAAAAATATGCATGTTGTAAGCTGTCGAAAACATTCCCCAACTGCATTTATTTGGCTTCAGGTCGCTCTGTAAATAGAAACTCGTGCCACGTTCTTTATAATGGGACGCAAAATTAAAGCCAGTTCGTGACTTTGCCACACGGGATTTCACGCAATGAAGTCACGTTCACATGCATGTATCTACGTCGGGAGTTCTCATCTGCCCGTTGCTGTTGAGTGTGTGACACTTAACTACTAACACAAACGGTCCTCACCAATCCCGGTAAGATGAGAGCCAAGCACATGTGCCTTCCATCGTAAGTGTCATTCACACCGTCTATCAACTTGTCAGGAGTTCTTTTATCATCTACCACTCCTGGTAAAACGTTCACACTGTGAGGATGCGCGGTTATGTTGTTTTCCGTAAGGCGTAGTCTGTAGCCATTTTCATCGTAAAATTCAAGGCCGTTAAGACCGACGTAGTAAGGATCTCCCCAGGTGGAAAACAGTTGAAACTGAAATACGACTGGTAACAAGTGAAGGAAAAGTAATTCACAGGCAGTAATCTATTTTGTCCTCTTAATATTGAGACAAAATTGTGTTTTACCCGAAAAAAGGTCCATATTCACTACCTCAATTATTACAAGGGAGGGGCAGCGAAGTGGCTTATGATATTAAAACTTTTCTGTTATTATTGCACATTCAGAAAACGGGACAGTAAAAACTGCACTTAAGTAAGGAATAATTGATTTACCTAACAGTTGAGCATTGAGACATTTCGACATTTCGACATTTGTCTCAAATCTGCCTGAACGAACTGAATGAAACAAAACCGCTCAAAGTAAGACAAAATTTGAAATCGTAACTGTTACTGACAAAAAGTCTCCCTTTTTGAAGCTAATGATATAGAGAAAATGCCATTATACTGACAAACACGTTTGCTTAGGTTAACGGAGAAAATTGCCAATGTATTGTTTGAACTACTTATTGGTTGATCAGTCTATGTACTAGAAGGATACAGCCACAAGGCATTAACGTTGGTTCATAGTCTGGCATAAGCTTTTTTAAATTCACCCTGCTTTCAGATCTAAAGACAGAATAAATCAGAGTAAGATCACAAAATAGGAAACACATGGAACGTAAATAACAACGCTTCGATATCAAGTGATGATTGTGTATCCCGCTTATCTTGCTTCGATAAGGTTTATTTTGGGTTAAAACTTCGGTGCATGTAACGAATAGTTATCGATCTTTCAAAAGAGCATGAGGTCACTGCCGGTAAGCTTTGGTGTCGATAAGTTTCAGTTTGGGTTAAACCTTCGGTGCATATAACGAATAGAAATCGATCTTTCGAAAGAGCTTGAGGTCACTGTCGGTAAGCTTTGGTGTCGGTGGTTAATTACACCCTTTTGCTAAATAACCTTTCTAAAGAAAACATTGGCATCATTTCAACTGAATCAGTAGGAATAACGAAGGTGAAAAACAACTATTTACTGCGCACGATGTGAAAACAACTACCACAACTGACCAGAAAACAGTAAACGTCGGAAATAAAAGACACTTAACAATGCATTACGCCTCGTTACTTTCACACCGTTAAAAAAGCAAATTCCTTAACAGTGGCAAAGAAACTATAACTGCACCTGCGTTCCACGTCCTTGGTCGAAGTACCATGCACTGCATATCCTCTTGCCATTTTAATAAAGAAAACATCCTGCCCATGATTGAAATGCATATTACCCGGCCCTGAAAAACAAATGTCATTAAAATATAAAGATGTTAGACGAAAGAACGTCCATAAATATTGTGGAAATGTGTTCCATATTAGACAATCGGTTCACCTTTTCTCAAGAGAAATCCCTCAGGTGGTGAAATATTCCTATCATCGAGCTTAACGTGAACTTGTTTGGCCTGTGAACAATAAAAATAAGCATAAGTAAACTTACAAAATAGCAATCACAGACTTCATGATATAAAAAAAAAAACTTGGCATAGAGAGAGACACGTATCATCTGTATTCCTGTTCCAGCTGCATGTCTTTGCGCAAAGGTTGCTCCACTTGCTTTTCAGAAGTTGGTCAATGAAATTTGTCAATGAAATACATACCCCTCTGAAGGAGTCATCTGTGGACTTGTTGTAGTTCCAAACTCTGAATCCCACCAAAGGGGTGGTGTGTCTCAGGTCTATTGTCAGAAGATGATCCTGCCCATCAGTGAATGGTATCAGCCACATGTGTTCATCACTCATTGTCACGTTTGTTCCATTTATTAATCTTTTGGGGCAACAATCAAAACTTTAATCAAGACGAAGGTACGGGAAAAACCAAGAAAATTCCGTTCCCGGATTTATACGAACTGGTATGCCATTAAGTACTCAAGAAGTATATCCACGGAGATTTAAGTTGTGATACCGGAGCAATCCAGTAAAAATAATTAAATAAAAGCAAAGGTAAAGCTTGTAACCAGGTCAGTAAGGTGACACTAAACCAGCTTGTTTTCAAAGGCTTCAACAAATCGACCCGAATACTTACTTATCAAGAGTTCTATCGTCATTTTCATATTCAGGAAGGTCATTAAGATCTCTTGGAGACGCCTTGGGAGATAAATTAGGGAAAAAATCATTTGAACACCAATTTTTAGACACAAACACTTTGATATATGTACAATAGGAACTAATTCTCGCGTTCTTCTTTGTAGAAAAGAACCAAGTCATCCCGGTGTTCTCAATCCAGCAAGGAAGTTTTGGGCATAAAAAGGACAACCCAATGACCCATCCAAATAAACATTTTCTCGAGTTTCCTATTCTTATTGGAAACTAAAATTGAAACGTTTTGCAGACATCAGGACGATTGGTAAAAAAGGCGTCCTCTTATTCCTGCCAAATTCAATATTAGTTTTCATTTCAATACGTTAACAACCACTTTAGACTAGAAACAATATATCTATTCGTCAACGTATTGTTCGATTCTCGAGTTAAGTTATATGTTAAAGGAAGATCGTTTCCACTGCGACCTTAGTTTCCCTTAACAAATTACCACTGTTTGTTTATAAGTTGCGAGTGCAACCAAAATTAAAAGAATGAGTGCTCAGTCCTTTCCAGACGAATTCGCTATATCCATTCATATAACCGACGCCAACACTCAGTCTTTTCAATGACTCAAGTACTAAGAAGCTTGTTATATTCTTCTACTCCTTCAGTTCTTTCTCTTGCTTTACAATGCATCGTATCTTACCTTCAACATGCTGTATGAAAGAGGAATGGATTCTTGATTAGGTCCCAGAGGTTCGATTCCAGTGAGTCCCATATGGTGCGGATCTCCCCATGTCGAGACAAAATTGAACTGATGAACTAATCAAACTAAAACAGAAATAACACCCAAGTGATTTTTACGTTTACCTGACGTTTCAACGGGAAAGTGCTGGGTCTAGACACCCTGTCATGTCGATCTGTTTCGTACCGTGTGTGTACATAACTAAAGAAAAACAGACTCCTAGCAGTTTAACTATACTTTAAAACATACCTCGACCCTCTAGGAAGTCAGCAGAACTGTCTGGTATATCTTCTGTTAATTCAGAAAATTAGAAGAGGAATCACTTCAAAGAAGTATGTTTTGGATTAACCAACGTTGCAGACAATGTATAAAAAGTTATGAGACGACTAACCTCCAGAAATAAGTTCTGAAGCGGGTTCTGATTTCTGTGTATGCTGTTTGGCCGACGTAAGCGGTCGATCTCCACTTGTCTTTAGAAACAGAGAAACACAGAGATTAATATAAACAGCCGTTTCAGTTCAAGGTGCATCAGCAAAGTAAGTGAGGTAGAGGACTTATATCTTATATTCCAACGATAAATTTTTATACAAGGGAATAGGGTGGTGAACATCATTATTTTATCGCGACTGATAAAAAAAAAGATACAACATCTCTGCACCTAAACAATTTCTTTAATTGTAAGCGCAGCCCTTTTTATATAATCAAGAAGCCACAAACGTGAAAATAACTATATCGTTCATACATAAGGCTTCTTTCTGGAGGAATTTTTTTTTGCCCGCAGACAGACGTGGGGAGCTCAACACATCGGACTACATGACAACAGATCTAATCAATAGTGCATGTCTAACCCCTTCCTTTGCCTGATCAGCAGTGGACGGCTGTTCAAAGTAACAGCTCCCTAGTAATTCGTCTTCGTCCTCCTCGTCTCCCTCATACGTCTGATCATACTGAGCCATGGCTTCTAGTATGTCTTCGTCCATCGTGAACATAACTGTCTGTTAAAAGGCACAGAGAGAAATTACAGAACACAACTACCTGAAGTTTAGGAGGAGGGTAATACGTCTACTGAAAAGTAATACTTAACATTTTTGTACCTTGTGTGATATTTTGTCTGAGAATACAATTTCACGAGTAAATTATAAGTGTAAGGGGAGGCATGTATGTTTCATAGGACTGTGATGAAAGGCTTCATGTTGGTAGCTCTCTCGGGGGAGACAGCGTCGTGAACTTGAAACTGTGGAATGCGTTACCATTTGACATAAGAAGTGCCAGCACAGTTAGTATTTTTAAAGCCAAGCTAAAAAGTCACCTTTTCCGTCATGCATTGTTATCATAGTTGTTTTTATTATTGTGAGTTTACTTTTAATAGTAATTTTAGCTTTTTAAATTATTGTAAGTTTACTCTTAATTGTAATTTTAGCTTTTTAGCCTTTTTATTTCGTTTTTAATCTTGTCATGCGCATTTGAACATGTATGGAATTTGCGCATTATAAATGGCCTATTATTATTATTATCATTGGTAAATCAAGAAACTGCTGGAAGAGTTACTTTATTCGAGCAACTCAACGCAACTGAAAAGCTTGCCTTCCCAAATGATTAGCTTTGCCAACAATGCTTTGGTAGTAAGATGGCTTTTTGTATTTTCCAATATCAAAATTATATAACCGTTGAAATAAAACCACTACAAGAAATTAAAAAGGATAAAACTTTTAAATTAGTTGGTTTTTATACCAGCTAGTTGTTTACTTACGTCGCCAAAGGTATAATCAGCTCCAAGGACATCACTAGCTCTGCAGTTTAAAGGAACGCACTCACGGTCACAAAAAAAGATCATTTACTTCCAGAGGTGTAATCAATTGGGCACTTCTCGATCAATAGTCGTAAAATATAAATCAAAGTTATCTCAACGGCCAATCCGACAAAAGGTAAATATTAAAGGGAGCTTACAGGGACTAAAAGTAAACATGAATGAACTGTTTAAAACAGGGAAGTTTGTCAGTGACCAGATCACGATTGGTTAATCTATGAATCTGAATTGCTGAGAGGGTAAGTGTTTTAAAACAAAAATTGCCTTGAAAGAGGAGATAGAAGGATGCAACAAACCATAAAGAACAAATCGGGGTCGTTGTAACTTAGACACAGACAGCGTGATCATAGACAGATCTGTGTTTATGTCTTGTTTCTCCCTTCTGTAACACGAAATAGACAAACCTGAACAAGTCTTCACTGCAAAACACCCAAATAGTTGTCTAACACAAACGAAGAGCACACAATACCGTGCTATTTCTCCTTGATGATACCAGATTATAACGCACTAGTAGACTGAATACTCTCCACTTCAGACGACTTTTGTCTGTGCCCAGCAACTCTAACAGTAATATCCGGGATCATGGATATTCTTGCCTACGAACAGGCGCTCATCTTTGGCCAATCAGTGTGCACTTTTGTTTTGGCCGCGCGAGAAGTATGGGGCCCGGAGCAAGGCAAGCTGGGGAGAGCTCTGCAAGGGGTCTGGAACTTATGAAGGAGATCAAGCAACCAACGTTTTGAGACGCAAACGGCAGCCGGAAGTGAAAAGTTCTCATTCTTGCTGTTTAATACGCCTTTTTGGTCAGTACAGTTTGGTTTAACAACAGCCAGTTAATCACTAACTGACGATAATTGGTGCACAGAAACAGAGTAACATCTCGTTCGAGCAGACAAAATTTAGGAGCTTCATTTCACAGAGAGAAATACCAAAAGCGAATCAAATCTTCCACGAAAGAAAAGACTCGTCGTACCTTACTCCTTTTGCTTTGTTTAAGCTTATCTTCTGAACAAAAAATAACGTTTAGTTTGAATTAAGTTGATATGATTATGCTACGCATTTAAAGAGTACACCTTGAGCTTCTTTTTTTATAGTCCAAACTCCCCAGCATTCTACAACGGCCACTATTCCCAGTCCCCAGGAGTTTTGGCGCCACCCACTTCAAACTTCCTGTTTCGGTTTCATTCCCGTCGATAGCCAAACTATCATGGCGTCGAGCCCACACGTACCAGAACTTGGCGGATATGATTACGAGTTCACGGGCAATGTTCCTGATAACTATGAATGTCTTGTGTGCTTTTTACCAATGAGGGATCCAGTTCAGACTGTAGGATGTGGACACAGACTCTGCAGCATTTGTATGGAATCACTCTTGCGGTAATGTCGAATGCGATTTTGCATGTAGTCATAGCACGGGCATTTTACAATGTATAACAACTATATCTGGAACAAAAAATATACTGTAATCGATCCATATCCTAAATATAGCATCTTCAGCTCATGTGAGAGTTATAAGAATTCGGAGCTCGAGGTTAACCACTTTTTGTTGTGTTTCATTGAAAGAGCTATGTTCTGAATTTGAATATTTTATTTCCCACTCAATTTCCATTACTGTACTTATTCAATCCTATTCGTGCCTCCACGACTTTGGTTTCCTTTCACAATAAAGGATTTATCTTTAAAAAACATTTCTTCTTTCTATTTCTTCACTGACTGTCTGCAGACGCCCTTCGCCATTGTGTCCAGTAGATAGGGAACCACTGTCAGGTGACAAGGTAAGAGTTTCTATGGAAACAGGTCACGCAACCACGTGTAATATGTGGGGAGATAGTCAGGTAGCCTGAACAAAATCTCGTTTTCTCATGTCTGTCCTTTTATCTGTCGCATTGCTGCGATTACTTGTTCCGCGATTGATTTTTTACTTGAAAATCGAGATAAAAGATTGAAATCGCTAAATATTTTCGCATGTGTGCAAATAGGCATGCGGATCAATTTCAAAGTGAATTATGCAAATTTGTCCGTGTGTGAGGAAATCTCAAGTTTCATGGTATCTATTAATGGGAGGCAAGAGGAAAATGAGATATTTCGGAACTACAGTTTTATTCAAAACTATTCCTGATTTGCTGTCATAAGCGAAAAACGTACGAATTTCTTTCGTACACAAAGCCCACGCCGTAAAACTCATCATGCTTAGATCGTTGTTTAGTTGACTTCACGGCAAGAAATTGCGTAGCGTTATGATGAAAATTCTGAAAGTACTACAATTTGACGCAAAATCTTCTATTAAACAATACTTTTTGAACACATTGTCGGTCAAACGTAATATTTACCGGGTAGTAGAGTGGTCAAATTGTCGCTAGGCCCTGCTTGAAGTCCGAAAGTTCGGTTTTCGGTTTACGGCCACAATTCGCATCGCTTTAGAGAATCGTAGTCTCGTTGACTCGAGAGTTTATTCTGTCACCTTTAAGAGCTTGACGTCCATTATTTTCCAAACAGAGTATTCTATAGCATTGCTACATTATATTCTGAGTTCCACAAGGTCTAACTTGATCGCAAAGGACCGAAAAATCCGACTTAAAAGTTTTGAAGGTCGGCCGCGTGGACGCCATAAATTCAAATATTTGATCATTTGGTAAGAACGCATAGAATGATGCCCCTCTAGTACCCCCTAAAGCCATCAAAATATTTATGCAAACAAAGGATTCTGATTGGTTTGTTGATCTCCTAACGACAGAGAAAGTTTGGGGACAAAATTCTGCTTAGTAAGGGAGGTAGGGGCGGTTACGGGTGGTTCAGGTATCAAAAGCATATTATATTTACACTAATAATGTATTTGTTTCGTTCATCGCGGAACTTGCATTTTTGGTTGCACTATATCTTAAGTTGTTAGTAGTTTCTAGTGTCGTTTCAGGGCGGTTAAATACGGTATTCTAAGTAATAACAGGTGCAGTAAGCTACATGCAGTCATCGACTGCCTATTTTTACATTTGGACTTGGATTATTTGGATATGAATTTGAAATAATTCCTATTTTGGCAGATATTTCCAGATTCTGCCCATCAACGCGAAATCCTGAATCTGACCGTGAAGTGTCCTCATTTTGAATGCTCATGGACTGGAGCACTGCATGCTGTTGAGGTATAACTAAAGTGTCGGATATGGAACAAAAAATCCAATCATTTGTGACTTTTCTTAATTAACAAATAGAGAGGCCTTGACTGTGCTCTGTGCTGTTGTAAAGCACGTAGGAAGCGGCTAGTGTACGAAAGAAG